CTCATCAGCGAGTAATTTTTGATTGACAACTTTGTGTATGTTTTTGGATTTCTTCAAAAACTTTATACTTTTTTAAATCAATGGCTGAACATATGCGGTTGAATGTACCTAGTAAAAGTTTTGTAACTTCTCCATTATAACCGCCAGCTAAATGAAGAACGCCATTATTGCGAGGCTACTAAGTGTTTTCATAAAGCGCTTTGTTTGGCATGTGTTTCTCTGAAACTCAAAGTCAAATCTTGAAAGCAAATCCCACAAACAAATACTTGTTAGCTATCTTTGTTTCCTAACAGAATTCCCATTTGTTATTGGAATCCGCATTTTAGTGTACTGCAAAATGTAAGTGATTACCGAAAATTCTCAAGAGTTTAAGAGATAGGCTAAATCACATTAAGCTGGAGAACTTACGGGATAGCTCTAATAAAAAATAAACAAGACTGCTCGTATCAGGGCGAGGCCCTGAATATTCCGGCGGCCTTTTAAGGTCAATGGAGCAGAAAGAACATAAAAAATAAAATTTAAAAAATTAAGTTTGCCAAAATAGCAATGTTAAAACCCCGATAACTTTACGAAAAAAGATCAGAGTGAAATATCTTTTTAGATTTACGCTCGGGGCTCAGGACAACAATAATTTTGAATAATATAAAAAAATTCCGCCAAAAATGGCTCGTTAAAAAGTTGTCAGAAAAAAAAACCAGCCGATACAACAAACAACAAAACTCTTCGTATCAATGTGAAGCCCTGAATGTTCCAACTACCTTTTAAGGTCTAAGGAGCAGTAATAACATGAAAAATAAAAGGTAAATAAAAAAAAATTGACTCTTTTTAATTTGAGGTTTATACCAAAAATCATCACCCCACACGCCATATAGAGTACAATTTATCCATTTTACTCCTACTAGCTAGTAAACTATGGCAACTTAACTTTTTTCAACTCATTTGGAACAATTTTTAAGACGGATTAAATTTCCGCTTACGCATTGATAGCGCGAAATATATCGCGCTTTAATTGTTCTAAATTGGCCAAAATGGCAATATTTAAAACCCCTAAAACTTTACAAAAAATGATCACAGGTGAAATATCGTTTCAAGTTTAAGCTCAGGACAACAACACCTTTTGAATGATACCAAAAAACTGTCAAAAATGGCTAGTTAAAAAGTCGAAATTAGTCTGAAGAAAAAAACCACCCCGAGCACAAACATTTCGTCGTTGTCGTCGAAACGTTAAGTCGCCTTAAGTCGGAACCTTAAGTCGGAACAATTAGCAACATTAATTCTCGTGAGTAACCAAAAAAATTAGTTGCATCAAACGGCAAATTCGGAATTAAAGAACAAGACTTAAACGTTGCCAGCAAGTTTCAATAAAAAATCTTAAAGTTTCCTCAAAGGAAATCGGTGATGTACGTACCCCTTTAACTAACTAAATATGCTTTGAGTCGAAATATTTTTAAGACTGATGTGCTTTTCGCAGAAAGTTGTAGCGATTGCATTACTTGAAAAGAGTTGTTTCTTGAACCTCCTTAAATTGAGAGAATTCCGTCTCACCAAGTTTGTTCGTAAAGTTCCTTCAATTGAAGAAAACTTAGGCCCCTGGTTCTATCCTGTGTCGCGGCACCAAAATATGCTGCCTCACGCTGTGTCGGGTTGATATAAAACTAGGCTTCAGAAGTATATTTGACAATCAATATATCGGGTAATTTTTGTTTCCGAATTAACAGTAAACAAACACAATTTTTGCATTTTTGGTATAATTTGAATAGAGGCGGAGCAATAAGCAGAATATTCCAAGTGCAGAATGCGTCCAAGAGCAGAAAAACAAAAAAAAATATTGACATATATTGGTTTATACGGGCTAATTGATAAAACATTTATTGGAATCGTTAAAAATACAAAGAAAACGAATAAATTATGCATAAATTGACTAATTTCTTAAGTTTTTTTAATAAATTTTTTTATAAATTTTTCAATTAAATTGCTCAACTTATGCATAAAATGTTCGTTGCTTTGCTATTATTGACATTTCTGATAATTATTTTACGGATTAGCTGACAGAAGTTGATATTTTTCTCTTTTTCTGCTCTTGGACCATTCTGCTTATTGACTGGCCACCGATTTGAATCTATAACTTCAATAATACAACAGCGTTTTTACAGCACCGAAATCAAGCGTGCGAGTGTGTTCACATTTTGGCATAACACGGCTTTATTGACACACGAAAACCTGTCAATCAAGGTCAGCCAAGGCCGTTTTGTGAACTAGTTTGTTAAGAACTTGTCTGGATTGCAATATGCTTTGAGTCGAAAGCTGAGTAAAGAAAAACTGAGTAATAACTTTTGGTAAATGGTCTGCACCTTTACAACATCGACGTGTGGGATATCATTGGCCTCAAAGCCAAACTCCTCAAACTGATGTGGCATCATGTAGAACACACCTATAACGAATACAACAAGTGCACTTGGAGGCTCTTCTGCCTTTGTTCGAAATGCAGAGCAACTGGTCGACTTTAAACGGAATTTTCTTTTCCTTTATTGTTTTTACAATGTAAAGTTTTCATAATAATAATCATAACGAAAAAAAAACATTTTTAAGACTGAAGTGCTTTTCGCAGAATTTGTAGCTACCAATTACACAAGAGTAACACCGACTAGGAATTAGGATAAGTCGGAATGATACAAATCGGCGTCTACGATGAGTCGGATTAAAACGATCCGCATTGAGATAAATGCCAGAACTCAGCGTATGAAAAAAAACGCCAATTAATCTCAGCATTTGTTAATCTTGATCTCAACTATTAGTCCTTACTTGAGATATGTAATTCAAAAAACAAACATAATCAAATCTGAATTTAAATGATAAAATTTGAAATAAAATGTTGGAACAGAAATAAATTACCACATTTTGATAATTGTGTATAGCTTGTTTTCGTAGTTTTCGTTTTAGTTTTTTCCTTCTTATTGTTTTTTGGTCAATACCACTGTTTCCCCAATTTTCGAGCGCATTGAGCCCTAACCTGTTAATTAATGGATACCAACCGTGATAGCCCATGTAATTTCCCTTGAGTATATATTGTAATGTTACAGAAAACCGCTTGAGATGCAGATTCCGACTACATCATAAGCTAATTTTAATTCTGCTTTAGCAGTTGTTGTTTCGACTTTTGTAACGAAAGTGACAAAATAATTGAGCTCGGGGTGGTTTATTTCAGACAAATTTCGACTTGTTAACTGGACATTTTCGCCAAAAAATTTTTTATCATTCAAAATGGGTTGTTGCCCTGCGCCCCGAGCTTAATTTTTGAAAAAATTTTACCTGTGATTCCTTTTTGTAAAGTTATGAGGGTTTGAAATTTGCCATTTTGGCTAATTTGGAGCAATTAACGCGCGATATATTTCGCGCTATTAACGTGTAAGCGGAGATTTAACACTTCTTAGAAATAATAATATTATTATTAACAAGACTGCTCGTATCAGGGCAAAGCCCTGAACAATCCGACTGCCTTTTAAGGTCTATGGAGCAGTAATAACATGAAAAATTTAAATGTAGTTAAAAATTTTTTTTTACATTGAGACTTTTTGTAGTAAAATATCTGCCACACGCCATAAAAATTTTTGCTCCTATTAACAATTCAATTATGGCATATAAGCTTCCTTGAACTAATGTGGAACGATTTCTACGACTGATTAAATCACTGCTTACGCGTTAACAGCCCGAAATATATCGCGCGTTAATTGTCTCAAATTGGCCAAAATGGCAATCTTCAAACCACTATATATTAACAAAAATTGATCACAAGTAAAAAGTCTTTTAAAATTTTAGCTCAGGACAACAATAGCTTTCGAATGATGTAAAACAATTCTGTTAAAATGGCTAGTTAAAAAGTCTGAGAAAAAAAACCCACCACGGGCGCAAATATTCGGCTACTTTCGTTTCGAAAATGAGAATAATAGTAATGTAGTTCCTGCAGCAAATCGCAGAGGAGCTATCAGTAGGCCTTAAAATTCATGTCCACTTGTGTTATCTCCCCACATTCTAGACTTAATTTGTTTAGCGAAGCTTTTTTCGCGTTTCAAGGACGTTTTTTTTGCGTCTAGAACTTTCACATGGTACTACTGCAGCCGAAATTGGTCAAGCTGTGGTAGACTTGAAGCTAGAGGTCATGTGAGAGCTCGTCCTTACACACTATCATTGTCATGGCATGCGCTCGAATACACGACCTGACGATTTTAAAGTGAACGCCTTACCACTATGCTAAGTGCCTCCTCGTTCCAAATTGAAATCGTTCTAAATCATTTAAGAAAGTTTATTTGCCATAATTAATCGTTACTAGTTGCAAAATTTATCACTTTTTACTTTATAGGCATTTATAGGTGAAGGCATTTTAAAAACTCTTGAAAGTTTTTTTAGTAAAAACATCAATTTAATGAAAACTCAACAATAGCAAGTTTTTACATCTGGCAACAATGGTTGCTTGAACCTCAAATTAACCCCATAACTTTTTATAGAGAATACATCAAATGTTTTAAATTCTACAGGGTTAATTTTAAAGTAGAATTGTTATAATCAAGTTGAGTTTCTTTCTCGACTTTCTTTCCTATTTTTGTATCAAGAAAAGCCGGCTCAGCACGGTTTTGCTATTCAGTCCAATTTAGAGCAATAAAACAGAGTAAGCAAGAGCCAATAGAACAAAAGCTGTCAATTTAGATGAAAATAGTTTGTGGCTGCAAAAGTTAGTTTATGGTCCTCAGTAAGCGCTTTTTCAGGACCAAAGATTCGATAAAAAGAATGAATCTGATTTCGGGGGATTATTTTTCCAGTTTTGTATTTATCTCCGTTTTCCTATCGGAAGACTTATTTTTCATAAAATTTCATCAATTAAACCGAGAACCTTTTAAGTCACCAGAATTGTTGATTATAAACCCTATATGTCAGAGTTTTTAAAACCATTGAAATTTTTTGGAATAATAGCAATTTTCAAATAAGTTTTTTAATTGAGAGTCAGAACAAAACAAAAACATTTGATTAATGGTTTTCTAGTACAACCCACTAATTGCAACCCACATTATAATGGCTTTAAAAAAATTGCAGTTAACTCATATGATGCAATATTCATAAAACACATATATGATACACACCCCATACTCGAAACAAACTGTGGTCATGATTACATATGGCAACAATAGTTGCTTGAACATCAAATTAACCTTATATATTTTTTAGAGTATACATCAAGCTCAGATTATATACGGGTAAGTTGAAGCAGAAGGGTGATTATAAGGTTCAAGTCGAGTTTCTTTTCGACTTTCAGGCCCAAACTCTTTTTTAACAATTGCTAGACACCAACGTCTTCAGCATTGTGTAGCTTCTGGTACGGAGGAAGACCATCTGACAAAATTCCTGGCACTACTGCCGATGTTCCCTGCAAGGCGACTCCAGTCGCGGATCCATCTTGTCTCATGACAATTATCTCTGCATTTTTTCGTCTTCTCTTGCTGCACATGCGACAGCAGCAGACACAGCAGAGACAGCAACTCACCATCGCCAGGAAGATGCTGAGAAAATTAACACGTTATGGGAGCGGTACACCAAAATAGTCCAAATCAAAATACCGGAAGTCAGTAAGAAAATTAAGGTATCGCAATTGAACAGTAGACTACATTTAGGCTGTTAAAAATGTAGTCCCTATAAAAATATTTACGAATTTGCAGATGGTGTGACAATCGAATTCAATGCAATTGGTAGAATCTCTCAAGCCCCATTGACCGAATGCGGAAAAGTTTTGTCTACCAACAAAACTCAGAAATCAACTTGAATACTGAGCTTTGATGATTGACAAAATTTTGACGCATTCCGTCCTTGGGGCTTGAGAGATTCTCCCAATTGCATTGAGTTCGATGGTCACACCATAGCCTTTGTTCAAAACTGTTCAAAATTGAATGAATTGATTGCTTCTTTTTTTCGAAATTTTGAAAATTTCGAAAAAAAATATGCAATCACTTTAGTCAGCTTTGCGCAATTTAAAGGGCGTTGAAGGGCTGAGAATTTTCGCTCATTCAAAACTTCCTCTCATTCGGTCCCTCAGGCGAGACATGGCCCCGAATCCTATATAAACGATTTTAAGGCAGTTTTCTAGTTGTTTAAGTATTTGATTTCACTTTATTTCCATGTAATCTCTGCTGGGCTTTTAATTAAACATTCTTGTTTTCTAGGAAATAGAATGAAACCAAATATTTAAATACTTTTATATATTTATAGTGGTACAGGAGAATTGCTTAGATCTGGAATTGCATTGGATTCACTTCGTATGCATACCGCATGCTTTCTCTTAACATAGCAATAAGAGTACATCGAACCTGAAAATGGCGGGTCCCCCGAAGGAATAACTGAGCATACAGTAGTTCTCCTCCAAATACTTCCCAATTGGGCAGCACATGTTCTCCAATGGACAACAGTAGTCCCCACCCGCATTGTCATCCACCATTTCGAGAAGCACTCCTCCAATAGTAGGACAATCGTCGTTAGATTGGCATGTGACCAAATGGCCGCCCAGTGAGAGTTTTTCAACCTCTAACGACAGAAACTTTGAGAAAGTTGGAGTCGAACTTTTTCAAACTAAATTTTCTTGCGGATTCTTGCGGAAAAATTAATTTCTTAAAAAAGCACAAAAAACCTGAGAAAACAATGTTATCGTATCTTAAAGTCTGACAGCAAAACTGCTGTTTTTTAGGGTAGGGCGACAAATCGTAACAAACGACAATTCCTAACAAACGACAATTCGTAACAAGGCATTGACAAGTAGAATACGCTTACTCCGCTTCGCTCCGCTACGCATATATCCGGCTCGAGAAGAATAGTGTGCGTGAATCAGTCTTAACCGCTTAATCTACTGCTACGAGTTGTCGCTTGTTACGAATTGTCGCTTGTTACGAAATGTCGCTTCACGGTTTTATTGAACCGAGTAGCAGAGTATATTTACCGTAAATCAACTCAAGTTTCGATGAACAAATTCACAAATTAAGAGCTATATTCGCTTAATAATACAACCTGGAAGGGAAGTTAAGAACGAGGATGCCCAGGTGCTGGGCAAGTAACACGGAGTCGCCGCATCAAAGTTAGTATTACCAAAAATAAATTTTAAAAAATCAAATGTGTCCCCTTTTATTAGTTTGTTATAAGCTTCGTCGTTATTGATATTATTTTTTGCATGCACTTGATCTTTCTAATTTAAAAAAGGCACGGTACTCATTTAGAAGTATGGTCCCACGGATTTTGAGGAGACCCATTAAAAAGCACATTTACAAGTGTGGTCCCGTCAGACCGCTTGAAATATACTCACGGTACTATACGTGGATGAAAACAAAACGAAATCTTGTACACATTTCTTTGTTAGATTTGCCACTAAAATTCTCTTTGAAATTACCAAAAAGATCAATCCAATGGTAAAACTTAGGAACTACTTTTGAAAACATTTTTTCTGACTTTCCAATGGGACAATTGGTGGTTTTATGCGATCATACTTCTAAACGAAATTTTAAACGGGACCATACTTCTTAACAAGTACCAAAGGCACCAATTAGACCAGCAAATTTTACATCGAAAAAAGTGTTTCATGTTGGTCCACCACAGAAACTCTGACTGCTCAATCGTTTTTCCTCATTGTATCAAATCTGCTTATTGTATCAAATCAATTGAAAGTCTTAACATTCTGCAAAAAAAAATTAAAAAGATTCGAAAAATTTTACACATTCTCACCAGAAGCAGCCCACATGACCTTCTGAACGGCGTAGAGGGAAGGGTCACAACAGAAGGGAAGTCCCATCACCCCACTGCAGCACTCACTCGCCCTCTCCTCACAATTCAGACAGAAAAAGGTCCCATCCTCAACAGTATCTTGATCCTCTCCATCTGCCCCCAAGATCAGACTGTAATAAGTAACAAATTGACAAGACTAATTGACCTACAAGACTAATTGAACAAACGTTGCAATGTGTATAAAAAGAGGGCTTAAAAATCACCAATGTACTGAAATTTGTTAATAAACCAGGTAAATTAGGGCTCAGTGGAGCTCAACAACGCAGAAAATTACTGTAGAGCATTTTATGCAACAATCTCCGGTGGATCTAGGATTTCCTCGAGAAAGCAGATTTTCAAAAACTATGTCGATTTTTTTTCTTGTGGCTCTCTAAATTTATTTTGCAAGCTCTACAAAATCACTATAAAGGTTCTAATTTGACAAAAATGTTCTGCACCGCAGGCGAATTTTTGTAGAAAAATTGCTTTTTTTTCGGCGCTCGCTCACCACAAATTTAGTCTATATTGGTGCTTTTTAGGTATATAATGGTGCTATTTTACTATGAATATGAAGCTATTTAGGTACTTTTCAAAACCATTGAAACCTAATTATTTATCAGGTTTGAACTTTTTTCAAAAAAAGTGCAATTATTATACCTTGTATTGAGCACAAAAAGAGCATTTACAAAACATGTGTACTGTGTAAATCACCAGTCTATATAAGTTTGTTGAAAATTTACTCGTAAAAAAAATCTTTCGAAACCAATTTGAAACGTCTTCAACAAAGAGCACTTTCTTCGTGTCTCAAATCTACACTAAATTCTTCTGCACATCAAGTTATAAGGATACTCGTTGTTACCTGGGTCCTTCAAATTCGTTTGGTTGTCTGAAACTGCTACTGGCTTCAAGGGAGAAGCTGAAACACACAGTGTAGCATATTGAATGCTCATTATTTGCTCCTTTCCACCATTAAAAAAGTGGAAAAATGTGAATGTGTCCAAATTTGCAATCGGCACCAATTTACATCTTTTTTTTTTGAAAGGAAGCGAAACCGAAAAAGCAATTTTTGATCTAAGCTTCCCAAAAATGATCATAAATAGCATCGATATCCTAAAAATTGTTTCTGAATGCATTATTGGCCAATATAGTCATTCTAATCCCTAGTTTATCAAAGAGTGTTATCTTACAAGATTCTTGTAAGATCTTACAAATTAACCTACTTTCAATATAGTTTGTTGTCAAGCAAAATCTCTATAAATTTGAGAACATGTAGGTAAAATTAGCTTTATGCACAAAAATAAACTACATCATTCGTGGAAGAAGGAAACATTATCAGTAAACTTAATCTATTTATAAAAATCAATAAAAGAAAATAAGAGCATCTATGTGACTGCAAGGCACAAAATATCTCAAACTAATTGATACTATTGATGAAAATTATGTTTTAAATAACCAAATTACTTTTCAACTTTTAATTAGAAATGCAGAGCTAGAGAAAAAAACACCAAGAAAACTTACAAAACAATTAAGAAAATTTTTTTTCGGAATGCATAAATTATAACAACAGCCTGAAATTTTTTTCACACTGTGAAAATCGAAAAAAAAATTGTGTGGAAAATTTTATAATTTCCCGGGTTGAAGTCCCACCGTTAATAAGCACTTTTTCTGTAGTATCCCAGTGATCGCTATATCCCAGCGCTGATTCATGTGTAATTCACAGTTTTTGCATAGCTAAAACTGTGATATTTCAATAATGATAACGTAAAAAATCAGCGCTTAAATTTTTTCTCATTCTACTCTCTCATTCTAGTAGCTTTCAAATAAGAGTGTCAGTTGATAAACCCTTTAACTTATAGAGGTCAGTTAAACCATTTTATGGTGGCAGAAAAATATGAAGCAGAAAAACAAATACATTTTTTTATACGGGCTAATCAGATATTAACGGGCAACCAACAATTAAGCTCGTCGGAGCTGTAGTATCCCAGTGATCTCTATATCTCAGCGCTGTTTCATGTGTAATTCAGAGTTTTTGCATAGCTAAACCAGTGATATTTCAGAGGTATGTCAGTAATGATTCCGTGAAAAATCAGCGCTAAAACGTTATCTAACTCATTCTAGTAGCTTTCAAATAAGAATGTGAGTTGATAATCCCTTAAACTGATGGAGACCAAAGAAACTATTTTATGGTGGCAGAAAAATATAGAGCAGAAAAATAAAGAGCAAAAAAATATAGAACAGAAAACCAATTACAATAAATTAAACGGGCTAATCAGATATTAACATGGGCAACCAAAAATTAAGCTCGTCCGAAAATTTTTTTATGAAATACTTTTTAAGTTGGTAATATTGCAAGAATTTTGCAAGATATTAGCAACATATCATCTCTCTTTCAAGACTCAAGCTAGTTTTTGCAAGATAACTTCTATTTTGCGAGATCTCGCAAGATAAATCTCATTTGCAAGAATCTTATAAAATATTGCAAGATAACTTTGCTTGATCGACAAAGGAAAAGTCGATAGAGCTCCAAAAATTTGAACTAACCTACCCTCAAAACCTGGCAGTTTTAATTGAAAAAACTCCCAATATTGTCCAAAAATTCTGTGCACACCACTGCTTGAGATACCAAGTACACAAATCTCGTTTGCATCAAACAAAATTCAAAAATTATAGCTTTGGTTTTAAATGTTTCAATGTATGAAGTATTTGGGGTTAAACGTTTTATTTTCAAGCAAAAATTAGAATATAAATCACTCAAATTGCTGCACAGAAAGAAGACCGATAATATGTTATAATGGGCAATTTTGAGAACTATTTGAGAAGTGCATGTATTGAACATGAGGACTATGATGCAGAATATAGTCACTTCAATTTCAATAATTTGCACATGCTACTAACATACCTTTTTAATATCTAAAAGTAGGGGTCAAAATATGGGTGAGTCAAAAAATTGATTTATTAGTAAATCGAAAGCAAAATAATCATATCAGAAAACGGAAAAAAAATAACTCAATTACTTCAACACATGAATTGAAGACTGCGATCTATTCAATTTTTTACCCTAAATTAAAAACAGAAACAAGAAATGTATACGCTTGCCATGATCCCTGAAGTTTTCTAATTTTTGCACTAGACCAGGAAAAACAACTAAAAATTTGGATTGCCAAAAATAAAGAATAAAGTGTGACTCGTTTTTATATGGGAAGTTTAGAAATGAAAAATAACAACGCAACATCAGTTTAAAAAGATTTCAGGGCGCGTATTGTTTCTTCATGAGCCTATCTAGATTTCAGGTAACCGAATCAACTATGATACTTCAATGCTTGAACCTGCAAGCATTCCAAATCTAAAAGACCTACAGACATTTGAAATTTCGATTTTTGGTTTTCGCCTATCTACAAAATATCAAGTGACTTCAAATTCTTGACAATACCAGCTGGAAACATCTAATTCGGGCCTAATTTTTTGAACTTTGTTTTGATTGGTGTTAAATGCGAGCACCGGACCACAATTTTTCCACAATTGGCGTGAGTGAAGCTAACATCCGGTCCCTAAACCCTAGACCTTATCTTCGTCAATTGGCTTCTTCTATAGCGATTCCTTCCGCACTAGTGCCCAAAATTGCGGTTCTATAATGGGAAAGAAAGAGCGTCATAATAAGGCCGAAGAAAAAGAAAGCTGTTGTTTCTTACCAGCACACAAGCATCAGAAACGCAGCAGCACAAGAAGTGGACCAAAAATTATTCGAGCATACCATCAAGATTAAAATCACTTATTTCTATGAACAAGCAGTATAATGCGTACTTTCCTGGAACTGCAAATTCTTCTAAAGGAAATATGTTTGTTATCTACATTTCATGGTGGCCAAGCAATGAGCAGAATAGTCCAAGATCAGAAGAATTTAGAGCCGAAAATTAAAATAAATATTAAATTCGTCGGATCTACTCAACAACCCCTGCTTTCAATAAAGGGAAATCACAAAGCAGAATTTTTGACCAATCATAATGCAGTAAGGTTCGAATTTTTAATTATGATATTAGGGTTCCTTAAAATTAATTGCTATTTTGATTAGCCCGTATAGCTCACTTTTTTAGATACGTTCCCTGGGATCACTCTGTTTATTGCTCCCATCCATATTTTTGATTTTTGTAGCACTCAATAACTGAAGCTTCCTAGGTACAAAAGAAAACTGTTTAAAAACTAAGTAAATCTGTTTATTAAAAAATGTTTTACTCTTTATTGCGCCCATTGGTTCCCCCTTTTTAACTCTAAGCAACTTAACACCATAAATTTTCACATCCTACTTTTTGTTGCCTTTGCAATTTAACATCGCTACATTTTATAAATAGTAGCAAAAAGTTCGGACAGACAGAACTACTTAAAATGAGCAATCAGTGCTGTTCGACGTTTTTTATGCAAAATCTGAAGCCATGATTTTTTGTCAGACCAAACTCAAAATAGGAGATCGTCGATTATCCGATGATTATGCAAGCCTATTTTTTTAAAATATTGCGATGAACATCCAGATTTTACTTTGAACATTTAGCAAAATTATTTGAAAGAACGGTTATTTTGAACACACAAAAAAAACAGATTAGGCCGCCCCCCAAACAAAAACGGAAAAGAAGATGATCAAATCATTCAAAATTTGGAAATAATCGCAGAAAAACATTAGCCACCCTGAGCAAAAAATTTCCTGGTTCAAGGTTTATTATTCGACGCTTCGGATGTAATTGCTCGACATGGTTATAAGTTTCGAGCGAGACTCTACTTAATGAAATTTCGACGTTATAATTATCTCAAGTTTATATTCCGTTAATCTCCAGACAGTTGCTTTGATTAATTAATTCTGTATATTCGAACTTTTTGCAACTCTCTATAAAAACCATTTCTATAACTTAACACCGTTTTAACCCAAAATAAAAGGAAAACTTACTTCAAAGGGGGTTTCGGTGAATACCAAAGATTTAAACGAGAGAAGTTTTTGCCATTTACAGCCAGAAAACTTCGCGCTACTTAATTTGCCTCTATGAAGTTTTGAACAGAAATTACCTCGCCAATAATTTCAATGAACCAATCCAAACTGAATTGAAATGGCCTTGCCATTAATTTCATTGAGTCGTTCCAAACTATTTCAATGAATCGCTGCCCACTACTTTCCACATATTTGGGTGGGCTCCACTGAAAGAGGATTGGATACCTAATTGCCATCCTTCGACATCATTTGTTGTTCTAGCAATCCCGTTAAAATGTATGGTGTTAAAATGGGCTGGTATTAAATTGTAGGACATCCTCCCATTCACATTTAACTTTTGCGCAGCACTCATTAAGTAAAGCTTCTTAGAGACAAGAAAAATTTGTCTGTACGATACCTGATGCTAAGTTGAATTATATAGGTGTCGAAGTAACAGAAAACATAAAACCCTAAGAAACTACAATGCTGAACTGAGCTATTTAGAAAAAAAACAATAAATTTTAAAAGTTGAAGTGTTTCTTTTTCCAAGTTGCAATCTTCGGCCTTAAAATGTAATCCCAAAAAGCACAGTTTTGGTTGTTATTAGCGAACGTCAAGTTTTGCCAAAACTACCGGTCCAATAGCTGACAAAAATTTATCAAACCTAGGAAATATAAAAAATGGGTCCTCCCTAGCAACCTATTAGTTTTAAAAATAAATCCCGTATAAAATATGCATTCTGAACAAACGCTCATATAAAAATGGGTTCCAAAAATTATATATTGTGCAAGAAGACTATACCAAGAAGTCTTTCACATCTTACGTTTGGCTGACTGCCTCTAAGAATTTTTAAAGGTGAAAGCGCGGGCCGAATGAACGCATTCTTTTGGTCAAAATTTTCCAAAGAGGGCCTTGTTTGCCTATCTTTTGAAAAAACTGTTTGCGGCGCAGAAAATTTGGTGTCG